TGATGCTTCATGGCTAATAAAACAGCAAAGGCATTTCTATCTGGGCATAAATGATTATTTTAAGCAGCATCTCACAGCTCCTTGGTAACTAAGGGAATCCTGTCTCAGCTCAGCAGTGCAGATGGGCAAGTTGCCATGACGATGCTCCAGGCCTAGTTAGAGTCTAAATATCACAGATGGAGAAACCACTGTCACTGCATGACCCCTGAGCAGTATGGCAGTCCTCTCCCTGTCCTTGCAGTTTGCTCACTCCTCCTGGACCCACTTCTGCTACTTGCACAGGCACAGCTGGAAGAGGTCTTGATGTCAGAAGCCTACCCTGTCTGATGCTAATTGTTTCTTCTCTCCCAGTCCAGATTACTCATGCTGGGTCATAGTCAAGTCATCCTGTCTTTGGACACTTAGTTTTCTTTAGGTCTTGCCTTTATCTCTGCATATAGAAGAGATACTAGATCTTTATCCAGAAACTTCACTAGAGGGCAAAAGAAATATAGAACAAATCATATTGCCTCTCCTGTAAACCACCCATAGTCTGAAACATCATAGGATCCCTCTATCATGGTTGACAGCCATCAGTCCCTACAACAACTTGAAAACAATTCCAGTCATTTGCCTGAACATATGATGTCTGCATTCTGAAATTGCAAATGGGACTCGATCTTGCTGGAGAACAGTGAAATGAAGTTCTTGTTCTTATGGAAGGACTACCTGTGGTTTCTACAATATGACTTTGTAGACTTCCTATTCTAACCAGCAATGGAACCCCAAGGTTCAAATTTCCTTAAAATAAATTTTATCTCTTTACCATCAGACACATAACTCATCCTCATAATACCTCTAACAATTTTTAAATATGCTAATTTGTTGCAATTTCAATGCAACATGGAATAATGCCCAAGATAATTTAATTAAAAGCTTAAACTCAAGATGTTAAAGTTCAAGTATAAAATACATTATTAAATGAAGCATGAATGAAGTAAAAAATAGAATTGCCTGATAATTAAATTATTATTATTATGCAACCCCATAGAACATATCACAAACATTGTAATTCATGGTAGACCCAAAGCGACAATGATACATAGAGACAGTATTTCTAGTGAGCTTTGCTTGAAGCCTACTCCTACTGGTTCTTTTTTCTTGGGCACAGCTGTAGTAATTTGGACATGGAAAGATATTAATTCTTTTAAAATATTTTATTTTTATTTTTTATGTGTATGTGTGTATTGTCTGCATTCAGATAAGTGCACCTGTGTCGTGCAGTGCCTGCAGAGGACAGAAGAGGCTGTTGGATCCCCTGAAACTGGAGTTA